CCACACGTGGCTCGAAACGTTTCATTGAGACAAAAATGGCCCATTTTTCATCAAAACAACGACAAACTTCCAGCCAGGTCTTCTCCTGAGCCTTTTGTGCCTACGCTGCAATGGGAGGTGGGATTGTGGCGTGGGATTGTGGCATGGGAAGCCCCCCCCTTCCCCCCCATTCTGGCTTTGGTCTAGGTGGCACGGCTGAAAATAGCAGTGGCGTGTTCTACAAACCCACCCAGAACCCTGGCTACATCCTGGCATTCCAAGCCCGTGCTGCCACATCTTCCCTGCTATGGGGACCTGAGCAAGCTAGACCAAGGCAAGCGTGGGTCTGTGGGGTTCCTCGCACCAGTACCCTGGCCCGTGCCAAGTGCCATGCTGCACCTGGCAGAGAGGGACTCATCTACCAGCACAGATTGGAGCTAGTTCCGGAGCCCTATTCCCCTCTGGCGAGAGGAAGACCTTCCCCCACTCCACCACACCACCCTTTCCAGGGAGCGGAAGCCCCCCCAGCGGCTCCTTCGAGGTGCAATTCTCTTTCCTGTGGGATCGCTGAGCTCCTTGGAGCTTTTCCCGGCCAGGCCAGCGCTTCCGGGATTAAACCAAAAGCTCCTCCACAAAGGATTTGGCAAGCGCAGGGGCCACTCCTCCTCCCTGAGACTGTCTCTCAGCACTACAAGCAGAAATCCCCCACCTGGCTCACAATGCTCTGCCCTGCACCTCCCCAGAGCAGCAAGTCCTGCATGGATAGGAAACTTTCTGGAGTCTCTGTAGGGTGCAGCTCTAGGTATAAACAGCCATGAGGGGAGGGCAAGGATGCCATTAGGAATACCGATCCCTCTCTTGCTTTGGGGCCTCGTGGGCTGAGCAGGGATCAGTGCTCAGATGGGAGAGGCCTGTGGAACTCCCAGCTGCTGGATGGGATGCTGGTGAATCTCCAGGTGGCGCTCTTCTCCCTGCTACTGAATGCACCAATCTAACCCAGGTTCCTGGGGTGCCTATTTTGCATGAGACCTACAACCGAGCCCCTGATTTGCTTACGGTCATTGGCAAGCCCACGGCACTTTTTGCAAGAGCAGGGATATTAAATCCCGACGTGGGTATTTGATTCTGCTTTTGTGCATTCCCCAGCCGGGCTCCATTGGAGCTGGGACCCTTCGGAGCTGCCCGTCCGAAACCACGGCAGCGTGTTGCCTGTGCAGCTGTTACGCAGTCGCCGCGCTCCGCTCCAGGAGGGGCTGCATCTCAGGGAGTGGGGAAGCGATTCTTGTACACTCCTTGAGATGAAAGGCATTTTAGAAACGCAAGGGATTAGGAAAAGAAGGCAAGTGCTCCTTTCCCAAGCCAGACTAATCCCTTCTACAGGCCGTGTAATTGAGTATCTGAAATTCAACCTCAATACCTTCACGCACCGAAGCCACTGTACATCCCCACACACCTTCAGCGACGCGTGACTCATGGCCGCGCCTAGTCCCCATCACATACGGGACACTTAACGAGAGCAGGTCCCTTGCTTCAGCTGCCCGCACAGCCAAGAACTAAACTGGGGGCTGAAACTGAAACCAGGAGACAGCATGCCAGATTGTGATCCGAGAAACCATGTAAAGCAGGGGAAACTCCCCTGGGGTTAACGTGGCGTAAGAGTCAAAGGAGGCCGATATTTCCTACTGGCACTTGATGTTGTGATTTATTTTATAGTAGGGCCTAAAGGCTCCAGCCAAGGCTGGGGCCTGGTTGTGCTAGTAGGAGACTTTCGCTGCCCCCAAAGTGTCCAAATAGACAAGGGGTGAGGGGGAGTGACTTGCCCATGATCGGCCACTGGCAGAGCTGGGAAGAGAACCCAGGAGCACAGACTCCCAGCCTAGTGGGACATACTTCTAGAATAGCCCCTAGCAAGATATGGGAGACAAATTCCCCATTTGCAGCCTCAAGAACAGCACAGTGAAAGGGTTAATCCTGAATTTCCGCTCCATTCAGGAACAGAGTGACCCCTGGGCCAGTCTCAGCCTCGCCCGGCTCTGGATGGGGACAGTCGTCCGCTGCCTGTCCTTTCCCATTGCTGACACATCTCAGAGGGTTCCAAGGAGCAGCTGGGCCTCCTGGCTGCAGATCTGTCACCAGTTCACAGGCATAGAGAGCCTTTCATCTTCCCATGGGGTTTCCTGTGAACCATCTTTTTCATGTTAGAAGCCAGCGCTGGGTTACGTGCGCGGGAGGAGAACACCAAGGTCTGGTGCTTCTGGGATGTCTGAAAGGGCTCGATTCCTGGCTACAGATCCACACCAGAGCCTACCCCCACAGCAGGGGGATTTCCAGAACATGAAGAGTTATTGAGGTTGGAGTTTATGATTTATTAGCCTGCAAGATCTTTGGGGCAGGGGCTGTGTGCAGGGCTGACAAAAGGTGGGGGAGTAAGGGGGGGGACAATCGTACTGGTGCCCTGAGCTTAGAGCCCCGCCAAAAAATCTGTAGCGTCTGGGTAAATAAAGTGAAAAGGGAGCAGGTGGGACCCCAGCAAACTGGATGTCGTGGGGCCCCAAATTTCTGTGTGTGTGTGTGTGTGTGTGTGTGTGTGTGTGTGTGTGTGTGTGTGTGAGAGAGAGAGAGAGAGAGAGAGAGAGAGAGA